GCGCATCGCTGAGGACGAGAAACCAATTAAATTCTCTCGACCACTTCGCACTTTTCAAGATTGAGTTCACCAAATTCGTATGTAAAATTACAGAATCACAAAGAAATATAAAATACAAGAAACGAACGGAGAACATTACAACAACAAAAGTGTCAGTATAGCAAACAAAATACTCTCTTTCATACACAAATAATATGTGAATCAGACGAATGCTTCCGTTACACCATGCGTTACTGGGTTGAGGAATCGGTAAAATTCACTTATTATTCATGATCAAGTTTCATGATATTCATAACAACCTTCAAGACACACATTACAAGAGTAATCGTTTTGTTTAAGTCATATAGGCCTATAAAAATGTACGAAAAGCTCACACATTACATACAATCGATTTTCGAGCAATATGCATAACAACCTAATATAAATTAAAGGACATGTGTGTTGTTCAAGGGCAGCACGTGTTGTTACACTTATGACAACGGTTACTGCGAATGAGAGACAAGAGAGAGAGAGAGAGAGAGAGAGAGAGAGAGAGGGGGGGTGTTAGAGAGAGAGAGAGAGAGAGAGAGGGGGGGGGGGGTAAGACAGGGAGAGGGGAGAGAGGATGAGAGAGTGAGAGAGAAAGAGCGGGAGGGAGTGGTGGAGGAAGAATCAGAATAGAGAGGAGAGGGGAGAGGATAGGGAGAGAGAGAGAGAGAGAAAGAGAAAGAAAATGGGATAGTGGGGATAGAGAACTTCAGAAGAAAAAATGGGAGATAGAGAGAAAGAGAGATAGATAGAGGGGGGAGGGGGTGTCAAGCCCAGGGAATGGCAGGTATATCAAACAGATATACCTGATTTGTAGTTCTGTTCACATCCAGGAAAAACAAGGAGTCATAATAGCATTGACCTGGTACAATCATCAACAAAATAACAAGTTCAAGATCACAAACAGATATAAAAACAGAAAAAAAACAAGTCAGCTACCACCTGGATGTTAAATCAATCACGTTTCAACAGGATAATCTAACCACGATTGGTTTACAGATGATCAGATATGGTGAGGTTTGTATAAATAATTTAATAGCAAATTGATTTTTGTCTTCTTCAAGGGTACATCACCAAAAAGGAAAAATTACAACACTATAAACTAACAGGAGAATTGTATATTGCATGTACATGTATGAGTGGCAGAGAGAAACATACAACGAGGGAGTTTGAGTGGTGATAGAAAAGGGAGGGAAAGAAGGAAAGAAAAGGTAGAGAGTTAGAAAAAAGAACCATAGAGGGAAAGAAAATGAGTGGGTAGAAATGTTCACATCGTTTCATAGTTAAAAATAGAGTTGAGTTTCAAAAGTCGTTTATGTAATGAACGAAGACAGTATGATCTCGCTTTTAACTTAGTTACGCCCAAATTGCAAATTGGTTTCACCGCTGTAATTAATTGTGATCTGATCTTAATCCTTTTTCCTGTTTCATACCTTAAGATTGAACCGATTAGTGACACGTGTCAGGTTATCACATGGACGGTATTACCATATTACGTGTTCACAAGAATAAGGGTTCATTCATATTTTATTAAGTGGTGAAGATGTTGAAGAGGTTTGACACTCTAGATTATTTAGATTAGTTTATATTCATAGATTTTTTTAATGGCTTCTTCGTCCGTATAAATCACACCTAGGCAGTAATTTTAGCACGTGTTCTATATCCTACTCGACTCGTGCTTCTTACTTATGACAATTCTTGAAAAATACTACGGTCTGTTTTCCAATTAATGATACAACATCGATTAGCATAATGTTGTGTTGTTTCCATTCCAATGACATTACGTGTACAAACCAATTATTATACAAATAGGACTTTACAAACGATAGTGGACAACTGATGAGATATTCCATTAAATGTGTGGTAATTAGTAATCAAAATTAATTACAGATTAAAGAAATAAATCATGTGTAGATAATGGCCACTATTCGTCGTAAAATTTACAGAAAGAAATTGTCCTTTTCAGTATTGAGATAAGCAGATCTGGAAGAAACAAAAGTTGATTTGATGAAGTCTTCACCCCCCCCCCCTCGAATAAAAAAAACTGCATTTTCGTGGTTGTGACTTGTGAGTGGGTCATGAAGTGCAGATTACAGTTATGCAAATCTTGAGTCAACAGAAAATGAAGAGAGATAAGCGATTTTTGATGCGAGAGATTGAAATAACGATACGTCTTATATTGACACACTTTAACTTTCTTAAAATATGGAGCCTGCAGAGACAGGGATAGAAGATAGACTGTTGACAGAGAAAAGGAAAGAAGGGGATGGAGCATGGAGAAAATATTTTAGACTCATCCATCGTACCCCTATCAAGAAAGAGTGAAACAGAAATCGGGTTTCCATCAAATCTGAAAATTGAATCAATCTATCCCTCATCGTCTAAAGTACAACGCGTTCTACAGTTTCGAGTGAATCATAGCAGGGAGGGAGACGAGGTGATGGAAAGAAAGAGAGAGATTGGATGAGTGAGAAACAAGATGAAGGCAAGAAATAGAATTTGGAAGTCATCACCGAGATGTTTCTTCTTCTACGAGTGTGGCTTCATGGAGTGGTGAAAGGTTCGAAACTGAGATTGGCGCTGGGTACACCCAGGGGGCTTCATACCATGGGGTTTTATACCAGAGGGGGCGACCCAGCCGACAAAATTCACACGTTGACTAGTCTGGATGACGTAGGCAATTGTATGGGTTTCTACTAAAAACTTGAGATTCTATTTCAACTTTTAAATGAAGACTGAGAAAACTTTCGACATAAAATATGCATGACTGTCAGAAGATTGTATGATTACTGTGACCATGCCAAATCATGCGATGTGTTGCCTTTCATTAGTCACTTTTCTATTGCTATATTGTTTTGTCCCCTCATAGTATTTCATTTTGTCATCACACGTAATGCCGTTCAAATTATGAAACATTTTTCAAATAATAAAGACCTCCCAGCAGCCTTTTTACTTTCTACAGCCGAACCATTCATCGATTTCATCACATGCTAATTGGGTGAATGAATGAATATCATGAAATGTTCTGCGGTATGTTACAAGAACTCGGTCTTGGTATGTGGCGAAGGTGATGACGAATTCTTGATCTTGCTACACCCCTCATGCCATGGGTGCCATATCATATGCCTATCTACCCCGCCCACACAAATGATCTAAATGTATAAATATAATGTTCAGGTATGTTCATGCAGCCCCGAATTTGCGATTGATTTGAAACGCCATCGGCAGTCACGGTAACACATACTGCAGACTATGCAGTCATATTTCAACCAAGGTATGGAAATGACTTGGAGAGGTAACTTAATATCGGACATCTTAGTGGCAACATGCAAGGAATGGTAATACTACACCTTTATGCCCGTCAATTCTAATTAAGGAGAAATTCGACAGATGAAAGATTTACGCTCCACATCTCGATCGATAAAAGTTTAAGTTACAATTATTACTTTCTCTCCAGTGAAATATAAATCTGAAGTTTATTACGATATTCAACCAAATAAATTAACAAATTGCCAATACTTAGCAGAAAACAAAAGTTACGAACATCATTTATCTTTAAAGGGGACAAAATTGATTACAATATTCATCACTAAAAAAATAAATGCATTTCTATTCTTGACCTCGAAATTAAAATGATTAAAGTCATTTTAATTTCAAGTTTAAGGATATAAATGCGTATGTTTGAAATCCTGGTTAAAAGTGATGTCTTCCGGAGAATGCAAAACAATAAGGAAAGAAACATGAAGAAAAGCACTCAAAGAATCTCTAGAAACTAATCGAAAGAACTGAAGATTTACTTTTCAGGTTTTTATTTTTAGTATGATATTGCAGGTTTTGATTAATCCATTCTAACTCCATTCAGAGACAATGTTGCTCCGTTCATGAATGTAGCTATTTCGAACAAACCATTGTAAATCTTGAGAAAGAACAGGAAGTAATAACCAAAGAACAGATGTTTGTATATATTATATCAGTCCTTCAAAATAACACAGTCATCTTGTTATTACTAATAGTAGGGAAGTGGCAATGGTAAAAAGTTGAAAAGGAAACGCTTGATAATTTGACAGTATAAACATAATCTAAGTGAGAGTGATTGTCTTATAGAGCAAGATAAACAAAAGGAGATGTCAATCATTCGTGACAGACTTCTTTGTAAGATCTTCGGATCATGTACGACTTGTTGGATATGATTGGGAAGGATTTGGGAAAAGTGCTGTTTATTTAATTAGACTTTGCAGCGGGTGGCTATAAACTAGCTTCATTTCTGCTGACTAGTTATGACTTCAACCATGGCTAAATACAATTTGCAAGCAGCCACATCTTGTGCTGGCTGTCTCGAATCCACTGATCCCAACAGCTCTCGCAGCGAATCATCCAAATATTGTTTTCCTGTCATTTTCCCCCTCTATTTGAGAGTAAAAACATTGCACAAGAACAACGAAATCAGATTCGTGACACAATCAATGCGTGCGGGCAAATCCTGCAAGGGATGGAAGAATCCCCTTCCCTCCTTATGAAAAAAAAACCAGTTACTGTTGTAACGTTTCCAAGGATAGAGGACTTTCGCTGTTTTTAAAAACATCCCCCCTATGATCACGGGTCTGCCGTTGAGATGTGTACGCTACTGAACATTCTTTTTAAATTGGTTTCCTTATAATTTAATATTATTACGTGTTGAGCTGAACTTGAAACAACGTACAACCGCGAGAAGAAGTACAATGCACACCCCCAGGCCTCAGGCTCACGAGCTTCAAAAACTTTGCTGCAACCAACATCACACACGATCAAGGATTCAATACACATGGTTATTAGTAGACAAACATGACAAATATATTTAAGGAAATAATGCTAAGATGCATGGTTCGATTAACAAATTTGAGGAATGATTGTATTATATACAGGCTATCCATATCAACTTTACAATTAACATGAATTGAATGAGCTCAAAAGATAGAAGATTGAATTATACTAACCAAGTAGATGGGATAAAAGGTGCTTTCTGCTTCCAGTGGTGAGTGGGTATTCCAATTTCTGGCAAGATCCTGCAATTTTGCAAAATAATTATGTTTCACTAAAATCCACGTTCAAGTATGTGGAGTCGAGCTCAAGACGTCATACCAAAAATGTATTTACTGGTTCATCTCAGAAAAATGTTATTGGTCCTCAAATCTCTTTCTCTGATTATATCTTGACAATTCAAATCCTCGAGCTCTTGCTTTGGCTTGGATGAAGCAAATATTTCTAGGACAGTAAACTGCAGGAAAAGTACTATCCTTGGTTTGGTTGTCAAAACACGAAAACAGTGTTTCTGTCGAGGGCATGTAGAGTCAGCAGCAGCCTGTCCGAGAAATGGAATAAACAGCTAGTTTCAGACGAGTAATGAAATTGTAACTGAATTACTGTCAAGCGAGGCACAAGTGCAAAGCGAATGGATTTATGACCTGACGGCACACCGCTGATATGATTTATATTACCAGAGGAGAACTTTCTCTGCTGATGCCTGCGGTATAGTTATCACCGTGAGCGGTCTGCTCGCGCGCTGTCTCGTGGTTTTTCTTTGGCACGGCGCGTGTGCGTCCGTCCGCTCGTCGCTTTTCTCGTACAGCAGATACCAGGAGCCAATTAGTCTGAACTCTAAATACAACCTAACATAGCTAACCACAACAAAATCCTGTTTATCAGTCTAATATTGTGTAATTGTCTGCTTTTGATGACCACGATAACGTTGTTTTGTTCCATGGTAATTTATTTAAACATAAGCGAGAGACTGTCAAAGAGTTCGTTGCTTGATTGCTATTTTATTTCAATACGGTTTATGTCCTAGGTTTGCAAAGACTAATTCAAACGACGTTCTCTTATTCGTCAGGGATTATCACTGTCAATATATGCGTTCCACCAATCAGCTTGCAGGCTAGGCGCCAACTTTCCTAAGAAAAGAGCGGGCAAAGATATTACTAGTATTCAATAAACATACTTTAAAGTAACTATGTCCCTTTTGCAGCCAACCTCGAATTCTGTAGAACTTTGCAGGAATTATGAATATGTCATGTATGTCCTATCTGTGAAATTTAAAAGTTAGCAGTGTCCTCATATTCAAATTATGCAAGGAAACCCGTTTACTTGCTAGACTTCACTGTCAGACACTATTGAGTGACTGACTGGCTTTTTTTCTTATTTGGTAATAACATACATGAAAAGAGTTGTAAAGGGTACATGAGCATTTGTCTACATCAATAACCCACTTCTTGTGATGGCCAAGATTAAACTGATTGAATCTTTGCACAGCATAAAACGTATGACCATTCGGTACAATAATTGTCTGAAAATCAAGACTATTACTTTTGGGCTCTATAGCCCTAAAGTCGATTTGATAACTAATAGTCATTATTTTCCCACTTGAAGACATTTTCAAGCCCCACCTTTTTGAGGGAAGTTCTAAATAAGTATTATCTTTCAAATGCAGTTGGAATTAACTTTTTCATTTTTTGGGCCTGCAAATGGGACATAGTACCTTTAATATACTTGATCGTAACACTAAACGACTTTTATTTTCTCATCCGGCATAGTGTATTGATTTTTTTTTGGATATCATTTTACTGTTATTCTGATATAGGAAGAAAGTGTGTCAGGCATAGAAATCGAATGATAACAAAAGAAGTATAAATGTTGTTTTCTAAATTTGAAAATATTGGTTGGTTTGTTAATTTTACCTGACTGCTAAGAAAGCATGTGCTTGTAAGCAGCAACCAGGGGACCGACGGCTTTAAGTCGTCTCCGAGGGACTTGGTAATTAGGATTAATACCTTACCAAGGGGACTACAGCTCATCAATTTGGTTTCGAACTCGGGACCTCACGGAACCACTGCTCTACCACTGAGCCATCACTCCTCCATTTAATATGATAGAACAAATACAAATATTGATCGGGGTAATCACAAATTAAAAATCATGATCTCTAAATAAACTTGGTATTGCGAAACTGTCGAACACCTGGCCAAACGATTAACAAAAATAAAAATCCTCGCCACACAAAATCATACACCCCAAACCCACACAAACATTATAAACCCACATACTAATAGGAAAGTGCGTAGCTATAAAATACTGAAGCAAACAAAATTAACAAAGAAAAAAAATGAGGAGAAAATTAATGACAAAAACAATCATTCCTACTATGTTTCTACTAGGCCTTCTGCAATGATAATCATATCAAAATTAGTTTTATTTTATGAGTCATGTACTTTGATTCATGTGTGTTGATTTCCTATTTGTCCATCCCTTGTTTTTCTTTGACTATTTTGTTGGTCTTGTTGGGCTTATTTCATGAGAAAGTATCGTTACCCATGCTGGTGATGCCTTTTGCTCCTTATTTTTTTTCTTCTTCATTTTAGGTTTTTGTAGATTTAAAGGTATTATGTCCCATTTGCAGGCCCAAAAAAATGAAAAAGTTAAATTCCAACTGCATTTGAAAGATAATACTAATTTAGAACTTCCCTAAAAAAGGTGGGGCTTGAAAATGTCTTCAAGTGGGAAAATAACGACTATTAGTTGTCAAATCGACTCTAGGGCTATAGAGCCCAAAAGTAATAGTCTTGATTTTCAGACATTTGTACCGAATGGTCATACGTTTTATGCTGCGCAAAGATTCAATCAGTTTAATATTGGCCATCACAAGAAGTGGGTTATTGATGTAGACAAATGCTCATGTACCCTTTACAACTCTTTTCATGTATGTTATTACCAAAGAAGGAAAAAAGCCAGTCAGTCACTCAATAGTGTCTGACAGTGAAGTCTAGCTAGTAAACGGGTTTCCTTGCATAATTTGAATATAAGGACACTGCTAACGTTTAAATTTCACAGATAGGACATACATGACATATTCATAATTCCTGCAAAGTTCTACAGCATTTGAGGTTGGCTGCAAAAGGGACACAGTACCTTTAAATTTAACCAGATGAAGGGTCATGATGTACGTTTTGTCGCCTTGCTCCCACTCTCTCCCTCTCTCTCTTTCTCTCTCTCTCTCTCTCTTCTGTCTCTGTCTATGTCTCTCTTTCTCCCCTCCCTCTGTCTATGTCTTTTCTCTGTCTCTCTGTCTCTCTCTCTCTCTCTGTCTCTGTCTCCCTCCATAGCTCGCTCTTTCACGCACCATATCCCTATAAGGCTAAGGTCATGATATCGCAATCGCATGGGTTTTTTTCACCATTAATTTAATATGTCCAACATAGACAATGTTATAATGTTGCAATGACAGTGGAATGGGGAGACTTCCTTACTCATTAATGTTCCACACTATGGAGTCATATGATATAATAACCCCTAAATTTGTAAAATTCTATTCCGTGTACATGTACTTTGATTGATGTGTGTTGATTTCCTATTTGTCCATCCCTTGTTTTTCTTTGACTATTTTGTTGGTCTTGTTGGGCTTATTTCATGAGAAAGTATCGTTACCCATGCTGGTGATGCCTTTTGCTCCTTATTTTTTTTCTTCTTCATTTTTAGGTTTTTGTAAATTTAAATTTAACCAGATGAAGGGTCATGATGTACGTTTTGTCGCCTTGCTCCCCCTCTCTCCCCCTCTCTCTCTTTCTCTCTCTCTCTCTCTCTTCTGTCTCTGTCTATGTCTCTCTTTCTCCCCTCCCTCTGTCTATGTCTTTTCTCTGTCTCTCTGTCTCTCTCTCTGTCTCTGTCTCCCTCCATAGCTCGCTCTTTCACGCACCATATCCCTATAAGGCTAAGGTCATGATATCGCAATCGCATGGGTTTTTTTCACCATTAATTTAATATGTCCAACATAGACAATGTTATAATGTTGCAATGACAGTGGAATGGGGAGACTTCCTTACTCATTATTGTTCCACACTATGGAGTCATATGATATAATAACCCCTAAATTTGTAAAATTCTATACTGTGTACATGATGCAAACTATATTTTCATAATTTTGAACCAAAAATATCGAATATTGATTTGTTAAAAGTGATGTGTTTATTTTATGTGATATTGCATTAACTTTGTTTGTCATACAATTCGTAGACCATTCTCTCTCTCTCTCTCTCTCTATTGCTCCTCCATCTCTCTCTCTCTCTCCTCCATCTCTCTTTTCTCTCTTCGAGGTAATGAGAAATCCCATGCAAGAAACGAACATGCAGTGCCCTTTTTGTGTCCCTTTTGCAAAGAATGCCAACATTTGCATTATATTTTCTTCATATTTTCAGACACGCAATAGGTTAGGTAATAAAACAAAATAGGTTGCAACACAATGAGCTTCAGATTTTTTTCCTCACTCGTTAATCACGTTCCCATTGTTTATTTCCTCTAATGCACCTACCTGTAGAAATCAAAAGGCGATATAAGATAAACAAAACACTTCATGTTCATTGCTAAGTATATGATGACGGAAGTCAATCCATATCATATTTCGTGATTTTCCATCTCTTTAATATCATATCATGAAATTTTTGTCCTTGACGTCAATGCCAAAATACTTTAAAATAACGAAAAGTTCAAAATCCTGATGCAATGTGAGGTGAAATTGTGAAATTATCTCTTTCTTTTTAAAAACTTACTACAGACCCGGAAAGAAGGAAAAAAAGCTTGAAATAATTTGATTTGATTCGTTTGAATGATTCTATTTATTTTATCACAATGTATGTTCAATTTTGTCTGTCTGGAAATTACACGTTTTGTTATACAATTTGTATAATTACGTATATGTGTGCAGTGCTGTTCATTGTTTGTGAAATTCAGGAAGATATTAAACATGATATTGAATAATAATATTCACCCCGTTCACAAGTAATCAACCGTTCAAAGTATAGCATTGACCCACCAGATCTCAACATATTGCTGATATAGTTTATATATAATTTTTAAAGTTAGACTTTAAAGTTTCTTTCAACATCATTTCAGAAAAAAGTAACTCTGCTTTGCATAAAAAACAATTGACCATTGTAACCATGGAAATGGATTTTAACAATGGAATTCAATCATTCTTTTCTCTCGCCATCTGTATATTGGACCTTGTTTATCTCAAAATCTACAGTTCTGAGTGTATTATGGTATTGGGGACTATGACTGATACTGGCAAAGTGTCGCAATAATTATTTGTAGTATACACATTTTTAGGTTCGATTAGTCAAGGATAATGAATTGTTTTTATATAAAATAAAAGTAGTTCCCACAGAATATCAGATCACATGACAAAGATTGCTCAATTGGTTTTTTCTTTGCCATGACGTCATGCACACCAAGGTGAATGATGGTCTGGTGATCAGAACAGAAGATTGCGTAATCTTTTTATTGTCACGACTCAATTGCGATTTTTGTTAGTTTGTTTGCTTTGTTTTTTGTTGTCCTGTAATTGTTTAACTTTGAAATTCTGTTGCTATATTGTTGTCTCTGTGCTAGAACAATTATTCAAGACATATAACGCTCGTTTTAGAAGATCGAGTTGATCATCAACTCTAAAAATAATGCAGGGTAATTATGATAATAAACACAAAGAAGGCATGCGTATAGTTATAATCAAGCCCCTGCTAAAATCACCACCCCCCCCCCGATTTGATCCGATTATTCTGAGCTTTGATCCCTGATTAACAGTATACTGATCATAATGAAATAAACGGATCGTCATTTTGATTTGAAAACTAAAGTACGAACAGAAACATGCCTATCTGCGGTTGGAATACCCTGCCGGAGGTCTGGGCGTAGAGTCTCAGGCATACCGGGGGGTCGAGACAGCGACCCGGCTATGATTCCATTAACATGATTAATTTGATCATTGCATCTCAGTATTATTAGCAAAGATATCGAGGGAAAAAAATCGGAGAGATGATTTGAATATATTCACAAATATAATTTCAGGCTTACATTGTCCTCATTTACAAATGACATTTCTAAAAGTTAGAATCTTATGTGGATGTCATTATAGGAAATAGGAGAGAAATGTGTTTCTTGTCACGTGTAGGCCATCAAAGGACCAGCGTCCGAGTCTGCTTGAAGTTTTTTCTTATTGTTATAAGTAGAGAGACAGTATTGATAAAGACAGACGTGTCTTGCTTTCCCCTAAATTTTATTATTTAACTTGATTTAAAAGAACCTTTTGCTTACATCAAAGACATGGTTTTAACTTCTTCCTATTTTGTTTCTGCATTATTCTAAAAGATTTAAATGGTATAAAAATATAATATTATTATATCAATGGGAAACTAATACAAATATTGAAAATTGATTTTAAAAAAGATTTGTAAATTACGCCTTGCTCTTCCGAAGGGAATTGATTCTCTTCCCCGTTAATACTCATCTATTCAAAGTCAGAAAGGCTTTAACAATACGATACAATCCAATCCAATCCAATCCAATCCAATCCAATACAATACAATACAATATAATACAATATTATACAATACAATAGGTTAACTCCACTTTAGCTCTTTCTCTTATTCGATGCTTGTAACTTCATTCCGAACGTTCAATATATAAAATGTTCAATAGTTGACATGTGTAAAATAGGGTTCCAACATGAATTGTGTATCATGACGGGGAGTCGAGTCGTAATAATCACATCTCATGAGTATATTATGCAACATGCATACATTGACACATGCAAACATTGTCACATGCATACATTGACACGTGCAAACATTGTTACATGCATACATTGTCACATGTTTCGGGTCACCTTGATGGCTAAATCATAGGCTTCATGGCCCGAATTCACAAAGGAGATTTGTCGACAAACCTTGGTTTTCGTACGTCATATGACGCGTTTTACGCTTTTTTTACAAACCTGGTTTGTAAAGAACATAAGGAGGTTTGGCGAAACAAAAGGAGGTTTGAGCTCAAACCTTGCTTTGTGAATTCGGGCCCATGAGTTTGGCTGAAAAACACATCTGTACAATAATTATTGTTTTAGTTTCCTTAGCTTTGTGCCAATTATGTCATAGATGTATTAAGCGCTATATAAAAGCAGAATTATTATTATTATTATTACATGCCCTAGATTGGTTTCGTGATAAACATGTCGACTTCTTTCTCAGAAACTTAGAGTATAGGCCTATTAAGAACTCCAAATAAATCAGTATCAAGAGAAAATCACAACAATTTGAATTTTTCAAAAATAATGGCGTGAGAGAGCTTGTTACCATGGGCAAGCTGTTACTATTCTTTCATGTTTACCATGCAGTTTCATGGGCTATAATTCGTGATCTGAAGCGATAAAAACAAAAGGGAGAGGGGAACTCCCGATTTGCAATTATTGGTACTGACAACGAGGTGCTAGCCTGCATGTGAATAACGCACCATCGATATTCATCATAATCATGCCTTCAACTCTGTCTCTGTTTATTCCCCCCTCTCAAATAATAGCATAAGGTAATAAAAACTTTGTTTTATATAGAGAAAGCTAGTACGTCAAGTCTAGAATAGGCCTATAATAAATAGTCCCTTCTCTCATAAGGACAGAGGGTGGGGGAGTGAGTGAGAGAGGGAGAGAGAGAGAGAGAGAGAGAGAGAGAGAGAGAGACAGAGAGACAGAGAGAGATAGAGATAGACAGAGAAGGGGGGGGGGGGTAGACAGAAGGAAACAGAGACAGAGATTCATTATAGTTTTAGACTCGAGTATACACATTAATTTTACATGTATTGGGGGAACCCATCATAAATAGCCTAAAATATGATGGTGTGTTATGTCAATTCCTTAGTTATTCTAATTATCATTACAGATTTAACTATTTTGCCTGTCATTTCCGACAGCTTTTGCTATAAGACGTACTCTCTAATTTCAACAGAAAGTACACAGAGTTGGTTCTCAATACTGATGCACAAAATAATATTTGGGGCCTCGATTGATTTTGTCAAGAAGATATAGTTAAGAAGTAGGATCCAAAGAAAACAGTATTTGGATATATGCAATAAAAGGTATTCTCTAAAATAAATGTTACATTCTTCAACTTTACAATGTGCAAACTGGAGTCCGATATGAGTTGTCAGATGATTCACAAGCATCTAATCTGTCATTGGCACAGAAATGTAGTACCGCTAATTCTTGAGATGGCGCTATTCCACGAATTGTTAGAATATCATTGGAGGACATGCATTATGCACTATGGAATAGAAATGAAATAGATAATAGATAATTTGAAAAAAAGCAATGCCACTCGTATGCCCTTTATCATTTTGGATTTTAAATTGTGTTTTGTCCACAAATATAAATATAGAGATGTAAAACGTGAGTAGGGGAATTAATAAATTAGAGAGAGGAAGAGAGAGAGAGGGAGAGAGAGAGGGGAAGACAGACAGAGAGTGACGGAAGGAGGGAGGGAGGGAGGGAGAGAGAGAGAGAGAGAGAGAGAGAGATAGAGACAGACAGACAGACAGATACAGAGACGGTCATTTTTTTTTGGGGGGGGGGCGGAGATAGGAAACGGAACAATTAGAGAAAGTTTGAAAGCGCGGAAGCCAGCAATCTTACTGCTATTCAATATTAATCCAGCGCCCTCATTTGGGCGTTGGGTTTTAATTTCAAAATTTTGCATATAGATATAAGAGAGAAGGATAAAATGAAGGAGAGGGGAAATAGGAAAAAAGTTCAGATGGAGGAGGAGGAGGAGAAGAAGAAGAAAAAGAAGAAGAAGAAAAACTGAAGTAGAAGAAGAAGAAGAAAAACTGAAGTAGAAGAAGAAGAAGAAGAAGAACTGAAGTAGAGGAAGAAGAAGAAAAACTGAAGTAGAAAAAAGAAGAAGAAGAAGAAGAAGAAGAAGAAGAAGAAGAAGAAGAAGAAGAAGAAGAAGAAGAAGAAGAAGAAGAAGAAGAAGAAGAAGAAGAAGAAGAAGAAGAAGAAGAAACGATTTCTGTACATGGTTATCCGATATTGAGGATGAAATACACGAAACAATGCTGTTTCGGTGGGAAATCAATAAAGAGAAAACCAACAATAACAAAAACTCATATTGGATCCAGGGGGATAATTCGACCGTGATGGAGAAAGAAAGAGGGAAATAAAGAAAACACTTCTGGCCGGGGATGCGTCGAAAAGTAGTTGATATATTTGAGGAGGACCCTGAGTAGCGTTGCATGTCTCTTAATTCTTAGACATTGACACTACAACTGCGATTTTTGCCATCCTTTGTTTAATAAAGAAAATTTGAGTATAACCTTCATGCTTTGATTTTAATCGGCAAATTGAATTTTAAAATGACCTGCCGTTATTCATACTCAAAATGGGGGGGGGGGGGGGCTGGGGACAGGTGCGTCGCTAAAGGAGGGGGGGGGGGGGGAGTGTGGCCGTGGGGTGCGACATGCACCTGTCAGGATATTGTCGGTAAAATTGCTGTGCCGTCGGGAAAAATGAGAAAAGGGGGAGGTAAAAAAAATTAATCGAGAGGGAAAGAGAAAGAAAAGAAAAAAAAAGCAAAGAAAAAGGAAAGAAAGGAAAAGAGAGGATAGAGAACAGAAGAAGGAAAGAGAATAAGAAAAAGAGGAAGGAGAGGAAAAAAAGAAAGAAAAGAAAAGAAAGGAGAGAAGGAAAAAAAGAAAGAAAAAAGAGTGGGGGGGGGGGGTTATCATCTTTCCTTGAACCTTGAACCTTTGAATGATCATGATCTAGAAGCTGTCCTGGGATGATGATGTCAGTCAGTCTGAGATGCAAGGGTGAAATAAATAATCCTATTTTCCATCATTTTACGATATGGACAACAATGATTTTATACAATGTGTGCTGATCGGATGAGGATATTAGCAGACGACAAACCAATGAGCTTTGTGTGTAAACCGTGCAAGTACAGCATCACAGCGCCCCGTTTTGCGTGGGTATAATTCACTCATACAATCAATACACGACCAGTATTGTGCAGACGCCTGCTATACGCTACGTGTCATCTCATCTAGGCTGCGCTGGCATAGAGCCTCGGCTGGGACACAGGTGTCTCAAAAACTTGTCTTCTGATCGTGTTTCTGCCTTATTTCCGCCACATCCAGCTCAGTTAATATCGTATAGGTATGTAAATTCAATTTGTTTTCTTAGTTGCATATGCTCAAGTCGTAGATAGTGACGGTATTGCATTACACCACTGAAGAGACATATGCTTTTGCCAGTTTTCTCAGTGAAAACCAGCGGGTTGTGATGAATTCGATACGCCTGAAGTGCGGCGAAGCTGGAGCCGTGTGAAGCCCGTTATCCACCGTTGAGCTGTGAGTGTGTTCCGAATAGCCATGTTTAGCTGATTAGTATTCAGTATTCAGAATCGTGCTTATGCGATTATGAGAAGAAAAAAAATCAATTGTGTTTGTTGGAACATATGTGCTACTTGGAGAGAAAAGGATGATGTTATTGACAAAATTCTGTCCATTGTGGTAATCATGATGAGTGAATGAAATGTGCATTGATAAACTAGTATGAATAGTATTTGGTAGGGCAGCAGCACAGACCCATTGATGCTGCCCAGCTCCCAGGGTTTTGTTTCTTATAATTTGTGATCATTATTACAATTTGTGATAATTCTTATATTAATGTTTGACCAATTCATAATATGGTGGTTCGGCTTTTTGTCATCACTGGCATCATCATCATATCATCATCATCATCATTACTAATTATTATTATAACTTAGGGCCTAAGATTATTATCACTTTTATTATTATCATTATTATTATCATGATTATTGTTTTTATTATTATTATTATCATTATTATGATCATCATCATCATCACCATCACCATCACCATCACCATCACCATCACCACCACCACCACCACCACCACCACCACCACCACCACCACCACCGCCGCCACCACCACCACCACCACCACCACCACCACCACCACCACCACCACCACATCATCATCATCATCATCATCATCATCATCACCAATTACTATTATAATTGTTATTATAATTGTGAATATGATATTTATTATTATATTCCACATACACCTGTACTAAGAATCTTGCTCTACGATTGGTCAAAAGTAAATCATGTGATGAAAGATAGTTCGCCCATCATTGATTGGAGAAGAAAAGTTTGTTGCACTGTGTAGATAGTAGTACCATCTACACAGTACAACCAAGAAGTTACTAGGAACTTCTTGGTACAACGCACTTTCACTGAAGATAGAAGTACTGTACTATCTACACAGTGCAACGCACTTTAATTGTATACGTTGCGTATTGCTCTCCTCTATAAGCGCTTTTAGTGTTAGTGCGCGAACTTTGGTCACGCGCGAACTATATGGTCACACTACCATACTGCATGCACTGTACGTATCGTACATCGTTTGCTAGCTGTTAATTGATGACTTGTTGCTCTGACGGAAGAAGTGAAATGTTTCCGATGTGGAATATAAAGCAAATAATCACCTTTTGGTTTCAGGCGATGGCAAACTATCACTTCCTAAGCGATCTGAAAGATAGCTACATCCAGATCGCCTCAGAAGTGATAGTTTCTCCCATCACCTTCATCAACTGCAATTATTTGCTTATTATATTATTATCTTTATTATTATTGTTATTATTGATAGTATTATTTTGTTGTTGTTATTGGTGATGGTGGTGTTGCTATTGTTATTATCATAACGTTCTATTATATTGTTGATAACTTGATATATAATATATGATTACCATCAGTAGTATTAGCAATCAAGATGTGCCTGTAGACTGTAGGCTTCCATCTTACATGTAGGTTTTCATACAATAACATTCTTTAAAGGGATCCGGTAACTTTGTCTCAGATTCTGAAACAAAATTCTGGATTTAGCTCATGATGCAATGATAATTATAAACCTTTAGGTCAGTCAGGAACCCCATGACTTTTACAAGCCGATCGCCTGTCTGATTATCAAGATATTTATGATTGGAATTACAAATTTTGAAAACCGTTCGCCTGACGGTTTTCATAACACTACAGTCTACTGGGGAAAACGAGTATGGTAAAACCGGTCACTCAAAGATTTTCCCTTTTCTGAGGCACTTTCTTGATCATTTTGAAGCGGAAATTTTTTAGGGCTTCAATTTTATACCATATCACAGACACTGATAACACGTAGGGACGTGTATCTCAGATTTAACATTGTTAAACGATCCCTTTAATTTCTCTAATTTCTCTACATTTCTCCTATACATGTAGGAATGTAATTTCAAAATGATTTTGCCTGATGGTACTGTCGCTGCCCAGATGGCAGTAGGTTCAAATTGCTTCTGGTTCACAGATTTTGTTTTCTTGTTTGTTTTTTATTCTGTATACCAATTGTGCATGTGATCTCAAAATGCTGGGAGTTACAGCAAGATTCTTTCTTAATCGTACACATAAAGTATTTTAAGTGAAAGCAATAAAAGTTAATTTAGTTTTACTCCCCTCTGCATGTTCCCGTTTTGAATTTGATGTACAGGCCAAAGTGTCTGTCTGCAATTTTATCTGAAATATCTAAACTACACTCTGAGCCTTTATAACATCGAACCTGGCACTTACACTGTAGTTGAACAAACAATCCAAATGCTTGATTTATAATATTGAATGCAGCAAAATGTTGTTATTTTGCCATGAAAAAAGCAATTAATGCAGTGAATGACTTGGTTTCTCAGATGTGTACATGTATCCTGAGTCCCCAGATTCTCCTGAAGATTCTTACAAAGACACATAGCTTATATCATACATGTTTTGATATTTTTATTTTCGTGGAAAATCAATCGGATAAATTTACTCAGAAGGACAAAAAGTAGAGACAAAAAAGTTGTTGACATCCCATAATAGAAGACTGCAAGTCCAAAATAATGTAGAACTAAGAAGGCATGTGGCCATGTATTTATAGTATATGGAAACAGAATACTCTGAAACAATGCAAGTGACTCTACAAAGCAATTAGCAGCTAAAAACCTCATGAGAGAAGACAGCTCAGATTTTCAAGCTAACCAAAATTGTACTTGACGGATAAGGACAAAATCTCCCTTATTCTCTCACAACACAGTGTGCATTTTGCTTTTATTTCAAACGATTGGCTTAGATGTTATAATAGATGTTTTGTTTCCTACAGATAATTAGCAGATTATAAATAGAGGCCCATATTTAATTGGTTAATTTTCCTTGTTATTATCCATCGATTCTCCCCCAAGACCAAGTGTCATGTTTTGTTACACTGTGCTACACAATATGAATGTTGTATTCTGGATGGGGTGATTTCTTTTATCTTTCATGGCATTGTTCCATGTTTACAATTTTAAAAGTACTAATGGAAAAATACATATTAGGTCTTTATAGATAGAGATTGATATTAGGTACATGTATCTTAGCGAATGCAAATGACATAGTGAATGATGTTAGTTATAAAAAGTAATTTGTTGATGTATCTCAATGAAAGTCTAGGTAACTTTAAGCCAGATTGAGATGGTACATGTATTTACTAGCTCCATTTCCTAATGATGTGGTTGTAACTCTATGTGATAAATTATAATTTTCAACAATGATGCATTTTGCATTGTAATATCCAAGAAGGGCGTCTTGACATGGGTTTTTGCTTTTTTCAATCTTCTCATATTCCATCTGCTAATATATATGCAAATGGACAGAAAGATCTCTTGTGCCTCGATGCCCTCGAGAACTCTTTTCTGCTGTAAGTTCCTTGTACATAATATATAGTGCAAATCATGGTATTCTGTCATGAGAAGGTTTCTTTCAAATTACCGGATGGCTTACAATGAATAATGGAACCAGGTTGCCAATTTGGCTAAAGGAGCAGAGGGCACAAAGCCTTGTTCATACATAGGTGTAATAGGGTAAACCACCTAAAATGCTGTGGAAAAATAAAATTATCTTTCATGTAAATGAATGGCAAAATGGGATTACAAACATTGCTGTGTCCAACAATTTTCCGTAAGCATACACAGTTGATTGCGGATTATGATATATATACCAGTTATTATTAATTTTTTTCCCCCGTCAGTGTTTTAAAGGTAGTTTACCGCATCTTAAGTGAACAAGGCTTTATAAATGCTTCCTGCTCCAAGGTTGATCTGTGATGTAGTGATTTCTGGGTATATCATTCTTAATATTTCTCACGTATTTAGGGTCTTATTCTACTTTTGTTTTTTCATAAAGTAAGAGAACAAATATATAGCCTTGAGCATGAAGGGACATAGAAAATTTTGAACTGTGTTCTGTGAAAGTCACATTGTTTGCTTCAGAAAATGTAATGAAACCTTTTCTCACTGAGATGTAATACATGTAGTTGTCACTGTTTCAATAAATTGTAATTATTTTAAAGGCCCACTGCACTACTTGTAGCTACTTGCTCCCTCTATATAACAAACAATGCCTAATCGGTGACCATTGGTCCCCCATGATCCTCTTTTTCTTATGTTAACTGAGAGCTGAGTTAATGAGATAACCACCTGTCCAGTGACCTTGCAGGGCGGTCTAATCCCTCCTGTAAACTATGGCAGATAAGCTTTAAGCTGAATTGTAAGAAGAGCCTGTGGAAGGAAAATGTAGGGCGCATTCTGTGCACACCAAAAAAAGGGGAAAAAGGATTGCTGTGATGACACGACCCTACATGGTGTACTTTATGTTATTACGTTGGCCTACGTGAAATATTAGCTATTCAAGATCACGAAGCCTGATCATGGCCATCATGGTTTGGTCAAACCCTTTGGGTGGATTTTAATAACACGCATGCCGTGGAATGTTAGGTAAACTAGACCCCAGTAGTCTCACCTTCATTCAGACCCGTTGATCAGTTTAAACCACTCTAATTTTAATAACATATCTGATATTTTTAGCCATAAGAACTGTCGTATGTATTAAGTATCTTCTTCAGTACACATATTCATCATCATACGTGTATTCAATATCTTTACTATTGCCAAAGAGCCCTGTTCATAATGTGTTTTTTTGCTAGAAGCTCCGACTTCCTAAAGCCATTGTAACCATTATCACCACCTTTCATCAGTCATCGTCACCATTATCATGGCTCAATTACCATGACAACAGTCTACTGATCCTCAGTCGCCTCATTACCACTGTAATCATTATCTTTAGGCCTATCTTCATCTTGGCTTGACCTCTCTATCTCATTAACAAAATTGCATCCGGGCATCACATGTGGGAGACACCATCTGAGAATTCATTATACCTATCAACCATGTGTTTCACACATTTTAGTTTATTCATTTTTGATTTTTCCCTAGAGGGAGAAATATGAATTATGCATGTGTGTGGGGAGTTTGCGATAAAAAGGATCATGATCGATCATTATCTTTACTGTAAAAAATAGCTGATTGAAAAATAAAATTGCTTTGATAATTAATTCGTTCCTGTTTTCACGTGGTGACGGTAGTGAGGAAAATCTGCACGCAAATTGTATGCAATTTTTATTCACTATCGTCACTTCGTGAAAATAGGGACGAATTGTAATAACAACATACGTACCACTTTTCCATTTACTTGTACAAGCAAATGACCTCAGCAGTTTGCAATTATTTTTTAATTACTTGTATCATCAGATTTAATGACAGTCTTTGCATTTACAGTGCACACTCTGAGCTCTAGGGAGTATTTTGTGTCATCATTTTTCATGTGCATCCGATATTAATTTATGTGTCATTCCGCTGAAAACAATTGCTTCTCCATACATGCTTTCTAATGGAGCTGCTAAATGTATTCATCACATCTACACGATATATAGTAGATTCCTGATCATTTGAATTAATAGTCTTGAAATCATAGTAGTGTTTTAAATGATGAGCTTTGAAGTGATTATGTCCAATGATACTAATATCCCTGCCAGCTGTTAAGAGATCCACCATCGTGAATACATTTTTTTCTTCAGTGTGCAGATCTATGATACCTGTAGTTTGTCTAAAAAATAAAGAACACATACCGGTACTTCTTGTTTACCCCTTTTTGTATCCACCACTGAAGGACTCTCTGTCATATTAAAGATAAACTCCAGTACTGGTAAAAAAAAAATAATAATTCTCACAGAATCAAACGAAACTTACACTGAATGTTCAAGATTACAAATAAATGACATGTGCCAAACAATTTTGGAAGAAAATGTATACTGGCTGAGTAATGAGCATAGAAAGACAAGGAAATCAAGATAGTACTAGCCCCGACACCATGTGTGTTGTCCCATATATAGCTTTCTATGTGAGTGCTTGTTACTTTACCAAGACTCGGTCAAATTTATTATGATTTGATGACTCCAGAACCTTGCAGTGCACACCAATACTTACATGCTACATGATCAACTGTTTCTGATCCTTTCCACACCTTTTCTTTCACAATGCAATCACATTACCAGTACTAAAGTTTATCTTTAATCGTGCTTGATAATGTATTTTTCTGACAGAGAGAATGCATCTCTACCTTTAATAGTGCCTTGAGACTTTCCGTTTCTGCCCACTTCATTCTTCCCATTCATACCACCATCAACCATCAAGAAAACAGTTCGATCATCAACCCGCCCTCGCGCATTCGGTTGAGAGAGAAGGCGGAAAGTGAATGATTTTTGTCAATACGCCAATATGGTTCCTAGAAAATTAACCAGCATATTGATGTTTGCCCGAAGTCAACATCAGGGGAGTGTTTCACAAAGATCCTAAGTCAAACTTAACTCTAAGTTGGACTTAAATATTATGGAGAGCCATTTGTAGCCTTAAAATAAAATATGTTCAAAGCAAAAGTTAAAGTATTTTAGACTTTTTGTAAATTCCACTTCAAGAACATGAAATCTCCTTGATAATAGAAAATATGAACTATTTAAAACAACATTTTATGCCTTTTAAAATAACTTATACAAAATATTTTCATAGATGCTAACGGCTTTCCATAATTGTTAAGTCCAACTTAGAGATAAGTTAAACTTAGGATCTTTGTGAAACACCCCCCAGATGACGTAAGTTTGTGCTGAGTGTGAGGTCGGATTTCAAGGAGTCGTACTTGTCCGCTCTCAAGTCGTTGGTAGCTGTGAAGATGATGATGATGGTGGGGCAAATGACCAGGGATTGGAATATTGTGATGCGATGTATTTGATGGACCCCGAGCAGTTCATATTACTTCAAGACCTGGATGCTTTAAGATTTATCTCAACAGTCCGGGTTGTCATCTGCGGAATTAATTTCCATGCCATGAAAGGCAAGACATAGTCATGTTTTAATGATTGGCACCCATGGGTGTGGTGTTAGAAAGGGCATCTTAAAGACTTAAAGATGGGAAAACAGAAGACTGCGTAATTATCATACGTTTTAGTAGCCGCAGTTGATGATATTTTGGGCCCGTATTCAATTCATTTCTTAAAGGTAATACAGAGTTTTGGTATAGGGTCATGAATTTGGTTCAAATGAACATATTGGAAGCATATGCAATCCTACACTATTCAGTGATCGTTGTCGTGTTTGAAATTGAGTCTAAAGTTATGAAATTGTAAATAATAAACTATTTATGTTGTATAGCTTCCTCTCAAGGTTAAGATAATACTTAAGCTATCAAACAATGTTTCTTGACTAAAATCGACCAATTAGCTATTCCCGTCTTGAAATTATATATCACAACTACATATTCTGAGATTTTCAGGGTCGCACCTACGATTGTACGGCCGTAGGCGCTATTTGAAATATATCAGAAATTTACCGGGAGCACCGGTAAATTTTTATATTAAATTTTTATCGAAAGCACAAGTGTTTTAGGGGCTATATTTTCTAGTGCTTTTAATACATCCTCAGGGGCATCCAAATATATCAAAATTGTAAAGAATCACTATCCACCCAATTTTCATAATTTTCCAAAACTTTGTATTACCTTTAAGTCAGAAATATGAGTATTTTAAATTAATTTTCGGCGTAGATAAAATACTTAGCCAACGTTGGTATTCAGTTGATGCTTTTGGCTAAGTATTTTACCCTAAATTTAAAAGGCTCCCAAGCAGACTTCAGTCAATTATTTCAGAAGCAATGTTTGGCAGGCTTGTAGTTTTCATATGCAGTCATAACAAGCTGTGCACAATTAAATTAGTGTGCATTTATTTTAATGCAACATTTTGATTGGGCATTATTTTGATTGGGCATTTTTTTTGATTGATCATTTGACATTACATTGCTTATTATCACTATCAGTAAGTATTTTGCCTTAAAGTTTTTTTGCCAAGAAACATTTTCAAAGTGATGATGGATGAGAGGTGTATTGGTGTAATAGAAAGAGGTTATTTTTTCAGGATCCATACTATGGTCATGCCTGATACTTTATGCTCGGGAGATTTTGTACATATTCACTAATGATATGGTTAAAAAAAAAAAGGTAGTAATGATTGGCACACTATTTGATGACACATTAGAGCTCATGATATTATTAATTCAATAAAAAAAAGGAAAAAAAGAAGATCTAATGCAGATATGAATGTATAGTATTTGTTTTGGCAAACATGTTGATATTTATTGATTGTGTGACCTTTAAATGTATGTCTTACCCGTGATTGTATGTTGGGCCATGCATATCCTAATGGGACAAGGGATGCAGATATCGGTAGGACTATTCTACATGTATATTCGATCATTGAAGGTGAATGCTGTATGCAAGGGATTTGCTTGTCACATCTTGAAATCTTTAACTTTTCTTGAGTGAAAAGTAGATTGGTATATTGTAAAACATCATGGCTGGAGTTCATATGGACCTCTGCCACATTTCTGTCACATTTTCTTTAAAAAGAAATTCATCTATTCAGTTCTTTCTGTAAATTTATTCCTTCTATCTCTCTCCCTCTTCCTCTCTCTGCCTTTTCCTCTCTCTGCCTCTATTTTTTTTCTCTCTGTCTCTTTTTCTCTCTTTGTATTTATGTGTGTATGTCTTTCAATCATCCTTGTATAAATAAACCTTATCCATTTTTGAATAAATTTAGTTTGTATAGATCTCTATATTTCAGTTCTACTTTATCAAATCGTTTTTCTAACCATTAGCATTTCTCATATAACTTTATTTCCAGATCTTGTTGACTACTCCATGTGGCATCACCCACCAAGCCATCATTTATCTGGGGAAAGGTGACCCATCTAGGGGTCGTGACCTCTGACCCTATCCCATGGATCGTGAAGCAGAGTCCGTTGCCTTGGAGAAGAAACATGTCCATGATGTCTATGAACGTATCGCGCCCCACTTCAGTGATACGCGGTACAAGGCATGGCCTAGGGTTAAGGAGTTCCTGTTGGAGCTGGAACCTGGCAGTATCGTAGCTGATGTCGGTGAGTATCTTAGCAACGTTCAATTGAAATGTGCAGCAGTTAATTTCTTGCATCTCAAAGTTAATATCTGAAGACGTTTGGCTTAAATTTAATCTTTCACACCCCCCCCCCTTGTTTCCTGTTTGTTAAAGTAGGCAGATTACAGACGAACAGGAAAAAAAGGATGGATATGCTGAGAAGACAGGATGAGAAAGAGAGAGAGAGAGATAGAGATAGAGAGAAAGACAGAGAGGCAGAGAGAGAGAGAGAGCGAAGGCACTTCTTCATCAGCTAGAGCTTCAGAAATTAGATTGATAAGTGCTTCCCAGGTAATAAGGCCAAAGGTGAAGTTTCCTGTCTCCATTCAAACCCAAGAATGGAACCTTAATGGTATTAGAAATGTGATTTCTTTAAAAATAAAAATAAATGCTTGTGTACACGAGATGGTGGTAGTTCATGATTGCTGGTACACTCTAGCGTTGAGAATTAAGTCAGGGAACATTTTTACTGCTAATTCAAGCAGTATCTTGCCAGATAGAGGACTATTATTTTCATTAACAATGGGATGATGACAAGTTTCCCACAAAAAAGCACAGTGATGAAATGGTCTGCTAATTGAGTGTTTGCTGAGAAAAGTTATTTCAGGACTGTGCTAATTAAATTGCTGGCTCTTCGATATCTGACTAATGAAGTTGTGTAGAGACTGGAGAGAGAGAGAGAGAGAGAGAGAGAGAGAGAGAGAGAGAGAGAGAGAGAGAGAGAGAGAGAGAGAGAGAATAGAGAGAAAGAGAGAAAGAGAAAGAGAAAGAGAGAGAGAAAGAGAAGAGAGAGAGAGAGAGAGAGACAGAGAAAGAGAGAGAGAGAGAGAGAGACAGATAAGAGGGAAAAAAAATTTTAATGAGAAATATTACTGATATTTACTTGAAATTTGAATTACGGTGAAGATTTTTCTTTCTGTCCCATATTTTTTCTTTCTCGCTATCTCTCTCGCCATCTTTGCTTCTCAATATCTTGTAATCATAGTGAAGCAGCTTATGATTTCGATGCATTTAAGAGAGATTAAAGATTCATGTTATTACGCTCTCAAAGTAGGTCTGTCAATTATGTTAACTGAACGTACATGTACCGGTAGGTGTTTTAGTAATGCATATCACATGAGCTCATTTTCTTCTGTGTCATAAATTATGACAAATAGTGCTATGTGTATGTAGGTATACACGTGTAATATTTGTTCTTTTTGAAAAGTCATCATTTTGCTATGGTTATTGAATATTATGGAAGATCAATTTAGAGAGAGAGAGAGAGAGAGAGAGAGAGAGAGAGAGAGAGAGGTGGAGAGAAGAGGGATAGAGAGAGAAAGAGAGGGAAAGAGAGAGAGATGAGAAAATAAGAGAAGAAGAGGGAGAGAAGAAAGATATGAATATTTTATATGGTTGCCATCATACAAACTATCTGTGTTGATATCATCCGGGACTAACCGGATCATATTGCGGTCTTGAGAGATTTGAATAATGGATCTTTCCATCGATACTATCCACCTCAGCAATATCTGGGCATCCTATATCATCGCCAGAAACCCTTAAGCGCATTATGACGATTCGTTTCATCGGTAATATTGTTTGAGCTCACGGGAAATATTACATCGCAACGTATAAATGGAATGGAATAATGTGTTTTCCCATCAGCACAGCCTGCATGGGAGTTATTATGGAAAATTCTTCACTCGCCACTTTCACCGTTCTAATATGTCAGTTTCTGTGATAGTCGTGTTATCCATACTGAAATAGGTATTTTTGTTTATGCTAAGAGAAATGGTGTCACTATTCTAAGGGATGTGAAATTTTGAATGATATATCGTTTCATCAATTCTACTCATACGGGCAATATTTGAGCTCCATTAATTGTCTTTTTGAAGCAAGAAGGGCAGTATTTCTCATATACTTGTATACAGAGTTAATGCCCTTCTGGCTCCAAACAGATACAGTAATATTATCACTGAAGACCGAGGAATTAACATTTTCGGTTATTTCATCCATCTGCTCAGTATCACCCAATTGAAGTGTCTACTCGAATCCTTGCTCATTTATAACTCATTAGTGTCAATTCTACGCCATTCATTACATAAATTACCTAAATAACCCTGCCCTCATCCAGTTTGGGTTGGCAATACATCATTAGTAAAAGTCCATATGAAATTGAAAGGTCAAGTCATATCAACGAGGAGTGGAAAGATAAATTTGCTGGATGATTTTGGCCTCGTTTGTTCATAGCCGAGGGAGTGACAAGTGTTATTGCTTGGTATAAGGTTTGAATATTTTATGGATCAATTTGGGGAATAGTTGGGTCCCGTAGTAACTTCACAGATACTGAATCAAGTTGTAGAAGTAATTTAATAGGTTTTAAGTATATGTCCCATCCATGCTTTTTGATGTTATGTTTGACTCATTCCTGTGTTGCTTTCTGTCATATTTTTCCTCCCTTTTTTTATTAGGTTACTCTCCTGCTGAGGTTGAAAAATACTAGATCTGTCCTCCCTTTCAATTATCTTGCTTTTTTTTTGCATCATGCTATTTCTGTGCTACCTGGTTTCTAATTATATCCCAATTAGGAGGTTTTGTCTCCTTCTATCACCTCATTACCGCTTCTATCTCATACCCAATGGGATGATCTGCACATTAGCTATAATAAGCATTCAAGGCAACATCACTTTCCTGTGCCATGATTCAAAAAGTGCATGGACACTACATTTTGTAGGTCATACTTTTGCCATGCCCCATGCTAGTATATGTACATACATGTACAGTATTCAGTATATTGTATGTTTAGAGCAAAAAGGGAATTAAATATTATACAGAGTTAACGTTCTTCTGCCTCCTAAGCAGAGGGTATAATATAAAACATTTTTTATGGTGAGCCAAATAACATTTGGATTCCATTTTGCTTTTTATCACTTCCTATTTGTCCAAGCATATTGAGGATAAAGGTGAGTTCTGGTCATGCGATTGCATTGTGAAAGAAAAGGTATGGAATGGATCAGAAAAAGTTGATCATATAGTATACGTGTAAGTATTGGTGTGTAGTGCAAGGTTCTGGAATCATCAAAATCATCATAAATTTGGCCCAGTATTGGTAAAGTAACAATCACTGTACACAGAAAGATGTATATGGGACAACACAAATGGTGTCTGGGCTAGTACTACCTTGATTTCCTTATCTTTCTATGCTCATTACTCAGCCGGTATACATTTTCTTCCAAAATTGTTTGGCACATGACATTTATTTGTAATCTTGAACGTTCAGTGTAAGTTTCATTAGATTCTGTGAGAATACATTTTCTTTTTTTTACCAGAACTCAAGTTTATCTTTAAGGAAAAAGCCAAGATGATTTTTTACTGAATTTCATTTACGTGCACGTGGTGTGATTCCATTTTAGCCTCCGGGAAACGGCTCATCAGGCCGATGTACACTACTACACTACTCAAAGAGTTAAAGCTTAATCATTTTCTTTTTGTCGTTACTTATTCATAAAGAGTGCTTGAATTGAAAATGATCATCAGGCATGGTAGGATGGAGCGCTCAGCGTTATGAATGCATAATGTGGTACAGTAGTTCTTATAATGGCCCGATACTAGGAATCTCCCTCTTCCACTCATTTAATATTCATTGAAAAGATAATATTTGAGCTGAAATTCAAAGAACTACGATAATCGTTTTGGTGTTTCTGAGAGAGAGGGATTAGTGGGCAATGAAGACGCTGACAATCATTTTTCATCACTCGTGTATATGTATCCATCAATTTGGATTAATGTGCTTCCTGTATGAATAGCCAATTCATTTTTTCCTTGGGATTTTTTATTATATGATGCACGGTTTATAGTGTATCATCATACATGTAGAAAGTCATTTTTAACTTAAACCTGAAAGGATAGTATATGTTTTCCATTCCTATAATTCCTATCCAGATAGAAATTTGCCTGGAAGAAATATTTCTGAGGTTAGTTTCACAATTCTAGTGAAACAAGTTTGCAAGCTTTTTTATATCATGAAAACAAATAGAAATCTAGTCTGCTTTAATAAATATATGAAAGTTAAGGTACTTCTTGGAATTACGTTTGTAAAGTGAGATTATCTTGTTATCATTCATTTCCTTTTTCATCATTAATAAGAGACAAAATCTATATCATACAGTAAGCTTTTATAAGTATTTAATGCCTTTAGAATAATTCATTCCCAGTCAACATATTTGCAAAGTCTTTTGATCTGTGTGCCCCAGTTTCAGCATCCTTTCTAATCCACTTCGCTACTAAATGGATTCAATCAAATTGGATTAAAGTAGTCAAATTTTTATATTAGTTTTCACTTTGGGATTGAGTCCAGACAGAGTAAAACAAAATAAAATGAATTCATTTCAGTTGCTACCCAGGGAAATGAACGTTTTTCCATACATTTAATTTACTTGTGCTTGTGCCAGTTTCCAGGACATTATTGCCCAAGTACTTGTAATATTTTCCAATGGGAAATCAAAATTCATACGTAAAAGAGAAATAAATAGGAAAAAAAGATGGAAGAACATCAAAACACTTGATGTCTGCTTAGAGCCAGAAGGGTATTAACCCTTTCATGACAAATCCTTCCACATTTGTTTGTGGTTTGGCTCAATAAATTTGAGCCGTAAAAAATATGCCAGATTCATGAGTAGAAATAGCACAAATTTCTGCATTATACTGCATCCGTTTTTGTCTCATGGCTGTCTTGCAGTTCATGTCAGGAATTTAAAAAAGGGGAAAATAAGCAAAAAGTCTTCAATTTGGCAACACATTGAGAAATTCAAAATCATTGTTTTTTTATCAATATTAGCAAATTTTAAACTTTTTTTTATAACATTCCCTCCCATGTAAATTGTTTTCACAGACATTGCATTTCATTTTTAACAATGTAGCAATAAAAGAAAAATATTATCGTTGCCAATTTGAGGGACAAGATGTGATCAATTTAGCCCTAAGAATAAATCCTGTCATAAAAGGGTGAAATGAATTACATAGAGCTAAGGCGTATGTAGCAAGCGATCTACAGTAGATATGAATGAACCTGTCAAATAGCATTTGTGGAAAGGGGGAGAGAGAGTGAAGAGACAAAGAGCACACATAGAGAGAGAGAGAGAGAGAGAGAGAGAGAGAGAGAAACAGTGTGTAGAGAGGGAGAGAGTGAGAGATAAGGAGAGAGAAATATATATATATATATATATATAGAGAGAGAGAGAGAGAGAAACAGTGTGTAGAGAGGGAGAGAGTGAGAGATAAGGAGAGAGAAATATATATATATATATAGAGAGAGAGAGAGAGAGAGAGAAAGGCAGAGAGAAAAAGAAAGAGAGGAAAGAAAAAGATGAAGAAGAGAAGAAGAAGAGGAAGAAGAAGGGTAAAGAAAAAGAAGGAGGAGGAGGAGAAAAAGACAGCCAAGTGGAATAGTTGAGTGTAGAGTTGAAGAAGGGAGCGATCGGATCGGATATGAAACGAAGGAAAAATTGTATGTAGCTCAGTCGCTTGAGTGGTGATCAGTTTCCTGTTGTTTATCACGCCTGCCCCAGATTTTGAACCACATCCCAGTGGAAAGGAGGATTACCTCTGATGAGAAGCAGGAAGTGGAAATTTAATCTAACCCATCAGGGATGTTTTTTTTCCCCTCTTTTATTTAGTAGCTAAGGGAAAGATTGATGTTGTGGTAGATGGAGTAATGTGTAGAGAGAAATATA